GGAGCAGAGCAGGCAGAAGGACCGAAGTACACTGCTGAGGGGAGCAGCGGGCGGCAGGAGAGGTCTGCGCGCCATGTGGGACCCTCCACCGGTGGCCGGGGAGCAGCCGGGGATCGAACCGGCGCTGCAGAGGCTGCGGGCAGCTTCGCAACCCAGCGCTCAACCGCTGCGCCACCGGGGAGGCCCCCATACACCGTTCTTGTCCTTTCTTTCCTCCCCCAATTTGTTTCTTCCCCCCAACCACATCGGATATTATTGAGCTGACATAATTTATTTAACAAGGATCCAGTTGCTTTCACTTTCGCTGTTACGGGGCTGCCATTAATAATCTTTATTGTACATATATATGTTTATGTGTTGAGTAGGCCCTGGAAGAGAATTTGCTCTATCAAAGGGGATGAACAGTATCATTTTGACTAACGCTACCAAATTGCCCTCCGGGAGCTCATACCGATTTCTAGCCCTACCAGCAGCAGATGAGAGAACCTGTTTTCTTATGCCGCCCACACACTGTGTCATCCAACCTTTTGACCTTGGCTGTCTGATAGGTGAAGAAATTCTCTCCATGCTGTTATAAGGGATGGTTCGGGCTTGAAAACCATTATCACAAGGCACATCTGCTACTTTTCCCTTGCAGTGATGACCTAGTGCGGTGTTTCCAACCTTTTGGAATGGCAGAGGCACTGGACTTGATTTTAGTTAACTATTTAAACCTGCTTGCAGGCATGAATAGTAGTTAAGATACTCTAAGGCAAAACCACAGAGTCCTTTTAAAACTAGGCATTATATAGGCGAATGACACGCCTAAACAAATTGTTAGGAACGGTGTGCTCTTTGGTTTTATTTATGCTGGAACATCCTCTCTAATCTTGTTATGACATATTTAAGGACTTTAGATCAAAGACTCACAGAAATGTAGTATCAGCAACTTAAGCGAGGTCAGCAGTGTTTGTCCCCAGTGACCTCCTGTCTGAGTAGATCTTAACCAGCTCTGGTCTTGGTGGAGTTTTGCTGCCCTGGCCACATTCATGAGATAAAACAAGCATTTGGAAGAGATGATGTACAGATCAAAGAATTTCAGAGTTGGAAAGACTTTGCGGGGGTGGGGGGGGTCCTCTTAGACTAGTTTTCTTCACTGAAAAGTCATGGAGAAGAACTTACATAAAGGAATTGCCTTGAACAAAGGGGTATATTTTCAGTTTTTGTTGTTTTAATTTCTAAGACTGCTGCAGGTGATTTACATCTGGTTTCAGGAAAGGGAAGTTTAGCTTGTGGGCCATAAAATAGTGGTCTGGGTGTGTTTAAAAGGCCAGGATTCTGGAAAAGTGTGCAAACAGAGGCTTAAGTTAAATTTATTTGTAAACAAAATGTGGACTGCACTACAAAGACATAGGGAAATCAGGTTATCCATTTACAAATAGTCAAAACAGGACTAAGTATGTCAACACATACAAGCTCCCCTGAGTCACACTCTGCCTGTGAAACTGAAAGCTGGGATTGGATGCCTGCCGACTGTAAGCTACAAAACTTGCCTTGTGCTCCTAGAATATCATCTCTCATCATTTATAGTGTGCTCCTACACTATCAAACAGAAAATACCAAGTTCTGACATCAAAGCACAGACTGATATCCTTATTTAGTCAAGATTCCAGTTAGACACAAATCTAGGTTAAGCCAGATCTAGTTTTCAGTACATATCCTGCTGTACCTGAGGGTTCTGGGTGAATGGGAGAGCACTGGCCACACGTGCCAGCTTTACCAAAGGATTTAGGTGGATGTTTCGAGTCTCCTTTTCCTCTCGCTCAACACTCAATCAGCAAACCTTAGCCCACGGGGGTAAATGGCCTCCTAACTCTGGTCTCCGGGGTTTCCCTTGGTCCCCAACACCCTTTAAAAAAATCAGCTGTGTTGAGCTATAATCCACATGGCCCATAATTTAACTATTTAAAGTACACAAACTAGTGATTTTTAATGTGTTCAGAGTTGTACAACCATCACCACAGTCCATTTCAGAAATTTTCATCACCCTCTCACCCCCAAGGAAACCTGTGCTTTTTAGGTGGCCACTCCCAGTATCACTTTATGTCCAGCTCTAGGCAACTACACCTCTACTTTCTGTCTCTGTACAGCTTGCTTATTCTGGACTTTCATATAAATGTCAATATGTGACCTTTTGTAACTAGCTTTTTTCACAACTACAGTGTTTTCAAGTTTCATCCATGAAACTTGATAAACATAAATATATATTAATATTTATTCTTTTTAGGGCCAAATAATATTCCATTGTATGTCTATCCCATTTTTTTTTTTAACCCATTCACTGATTGATCCCATTGAGCTGTCAGTGTCACTTTGGGGTTGCTATGAATATTCTTGTACATTAATGCACAGCTTGTGTGGGTATGTTTTTATTTTTCTTGGGTAATTTACTTAGGACTGGAATTGCTGGGTCATATGTTCATTCTGTTTAAAATTTTAAGAAGCTTCCAAAATGTTTTCAAACAGACTACCTTGTTTTATACCCCACCCCCAAGCAGTGTATAAGAGTTCTAATTTCTCTACATCCTCCCCAACATTTGACATTATGCATCCTTTTAATTATACCCATGCTAGTGGATGTGAAGTGGCACCTCAGTACAGTTTTGATGTACATTTCCTCATACTAATGATGTTGAACATCTTTTCATGTGCTCATTGGAATTTTGTACCTTTTTTTGAATGATGCTGACTGAGATCCTTTGCCCATTTTTTTTTTTAAGATTTATTTATGCATACAAGAGCTGGGGTACAGGCCAGAGATGTGGGGGTGAGAGGATTCACCAGAGACAGAGTGGGAAACAGAGCAGGCCGATTGACCAAAGTACACTGCTGGGGGGAGCAGTGGGCGAGTCAGGAGAGGTCTGATGCACCATGTGTGTAGCTCCCTGGCTGACTGGGAATTGAACTCGTGCTGTAGAGGCTGCAGATTGCTTCATAGTGCGGTGCTTAACCCCTTGTGACACCAGGGAGGCCCTCCTTTGCCCATTTTTAAAATGGTTTATTGGCGCGCAGACCTCTCCTGCCTCCTGCTGCTCCCCTCAGCAGTGTACTTCAGTCCTTCTGCCTGCTCTGCTCCCTGCTCTGGCTCTGGTGAATTCTCTCACCCTCCCATGCTTCTGACTGTACCCACTGCTTATATAAATAAATAAATAAATATCATTAAAAAATGGTTTATTCCTTTTATTACTGAGTTTTTGAAGAATTCTCATCTTGAGATGAGTCCTTCTTGGATGATGTCATTTGCAACACAAAAGTTTTTAAACTTGATGTCTATCTTTTTTTGAATCACCTGTGCTTGTGATGTTGTGTCTAAGAAGCCATTACTTAACCCATGGCCACAAATATTTACTCTTTTGCTGTCTTTTAAAAGTTTTAGATCTTCTATTTAAGTGGATGATCTGTTTTGAGTTATTTTTGTGAGAAGGTCCACAATTTCATTCTTTTGCATGTGGCTATCAAGTTGTCCCAGCACTATTTGTTGAAAAGATGATTCTTTCCCCATTGATGGTCTTGGCATTCTTGTTAAAAATCAACTGACTATAGATATTTGGTTTATTTTTGGACCCTCAATTCTCTTCTAATGAGCTATATGTCTATCCCTATACCTGTACCACACTGTCTTCATAACTAGCTTAGTAGTATCTTGCCTTTTAATGGGAGACTAGGGTATAGGAATGAACATTCTGGGCTTTTTCTACACAGTTTTTAGATTCTTTAGACACCTTCTCTGGTTTTCAACCACTCATTACTTCTCCCTGGTTTCAGTAGGATATGTTTTTCAAGCAGTCCTGAGAAATCCCAGTTGTCAGGCTCCAGAGTATTCTCCTAGCAATGCCAACTCACCTCATTCTAAATCAGTAGCTTGGCATTGACAGAATTTCCCAGATCTAGAGAAGGTTTCTGAAGCTCTCTAATTGGTTAAGTTTAGGATAATACTGCTTCCAGCACTGTTAGAAGATTAACAGATTGCAGAGCTTCTGAAAATCTCTGCAAGCCAGCAAGCAGTTCCAGGAAATCTCTCTCCCAAGTGGGCTGCAATGAAAACGGCGAAGCTGAATCTTGTCTTCCCTGCACCTTCCTTTCCTTGTAGGCACCTGTAGCTCTCTTTGATAGGCATTAGATTTGCTGATATTAGCATCTGTGGAGGAGCAGAGAAATGAAAGGTGAAGGGTCTGTGAGAAGGTAGGATTCTGGACAAGGCCACTTACCACTCACTAAGCCCCCAAAACAGAAAGTCCATATGACATCTGAAATTGTTACCATTCTTTTCTTTTGTGGGGAGAAAGAAAAGCCCACATGTAGCACAAACTCTTTTAGATAGTGCCTAGAGCGTGCACTGTGGACAGTATCATAGTCGAAGCAAAATTTAATTTCCATTTTGTACTCGACATTAAAAAACATCCTTTATCAAAGCTTCAATGAAGAGACCCTGCACACGGTGAGGGGACAGGGAAGTGAACTCTACACAACAGTGATTATGAGGACAGATTTTGAATTCAGCCTGCCAAGATATCACCTAAGATATCCTGAACAACTTCCGTAATTTAACCAAAACTCAGTTTCTTCATCTTTAAAATGGTATTATGGATAGTATCTAGCTCCTAGAGGTGTTTAAAGGTTGAGATCCCGTTCAGCTTAACACAGGCAAGGGTTGACAGACTTTTTCTGTAAAGAGCCAGACAGTAAATACTTTAGGCTTTGCAATACCACAGGCCTTGTGTCCTCAGCCATAAGTGCTTACTCTGCTGCTGTGGTGTGAAAGCAGCCATTGGCAGTGTGCAGCGGGAGTGGACGTGGCTCTTTATTTTTAATGCCAGCTGGCGGGCAGGACCTGGCTACAGGCTGCCGCGTGCTGGCCCTGGGTTCAGCACGGTGCCCAGTACCTAGTAGGTTTTTAATAAATGGCAGTCATTCTTAAAGCTTGGGGACTACCCTTTGACACGGCTGTGTGATTTTCACAGAATGTTGAGATCCTGGCCAGTCGCAGCAATACTTCAGAGCAAACGCAGGTGGATGCTGAAATGCACGTGAAGGCTCTGCAGGAGGAGAATGACAAGCTGCGGAGAAGCTTCGGGGAACTGGAGTGCAGCGTTGCTCGGCTTCAGAGGCAGATTGCTGACTTGGAAAGCGATGAAGCCAAAGCGAAGGAAATGCTCAAGAAGTACGAGGTAAGACTTGTTGGGCCCGAGCCCAGGTTTGGCAGCTGCTGATCCTTCTTTCCTGTGCGAGAGATTTCAGAAGTGGGAAGGGATTTATTGTCATAATTTTGTAGGGAAGGTCAAGGCAATAGTGGATAGGTCCTCTCTGGAGCCATTTCTTTTTCTTGTCTACAAATGGCATGAACAAGAGATGAGCTGTTGGGGGGGTGGGGGTGGGGCCTGGGAATGGGCTGCTGCAGTCAGGGTGGGCAGCACACATGCGGGCACAGGAACCCCCTTACACAGGCATCAGACACGCTCGATCTTTCGACGTTTAGCGGAGGCCTCCGAACACCTGAAAAGACCATTTTAACACCACTGTCAGGCTGATTCTCATTACTCTTTAATCTTTTTTAACACGTAGCTGTTGGGCTCGGAAGTCACACAAGTTTTAACAAACCAATTATCTGGTTTGCCAGATCTCTGAGAGTGGGAGGCCTTTAGCAAGAGGTGTACACTAATGGTGATGAAATAGCAGCTGACAGTGAAAGAGAAGACGGGAAAATATAAAGGCAGATATAGTGCAACAGAGGTTCCCCAAGGGGTTATCCTTCAGAATCCCCTGCAGGACCTTCCAAAACTGGGGGCCCAAGGCCATTCAATATTTGCAGCTGGATGTTTATATATTTTTTAAAAAATTGTATTTAAAAAATCATCCCCCATGATTGGGATTTTCACATCCATGGGACATGATGCCATAGTGTGTCCAGGACAGACATGTCGTGACCACAGTCACTCCTGCCTGTGTCTGTGGCTGTCTCCTGTGTTCCTCTCATGCCACCTTCATAGACACAGCACACATCCGAGCACACCTGATCCGTGTTTTATTGTAGGCAGAAATTCAGCAATTAGAAGAGGCCCTCGTGCACGCAAAGAAGGAAGAAAAAGAAGCCATGTCAACCAAAAGGACCCTGGAGAGTGAACTGGAAGATGCTCAGGTAAGCACTGAGGACTGGGGTCCTTATCCTTCACAGGAGAAGCCCAGAGAAGCAAAACCGGAGGGACCTGTGCAGATTGTCACTGGTCTTCTTCCAGGTAGCTCCTTTCACAACAATAACTACCCTGGACTGCAAACTGTCCCCCCAGAGCAGTGTTTTGGCACTGGGGGACATTTGGCAATGTCTGGAGACATTTGATCGTCACAACTAGTAGGTGGACGGGCTGGCTGCTGCTCCCCATCCTTTAGTGAACAGGACAGTACCTGCAGCAAAGAATCATCTGACCCCAAGTGTCAGTAGCGCCAAGGTTGAGAAATTCTGGTGTGGACATTAAAGAGCTTGACAGCTTTTCAAAGATGAAATATGAATTGTGTGAGGAGACAAGGAGGGGTCCCAAGTCAGTGTGGAGTCAGCTCTCTGCAGAAGCCAATTTCCTTTCTCCCCCGGGCAAAAGTATTCCAGAATGCAGTCCTTCAGATGCCTATTAAAGGAGCAGAGGAAGTCATTTCCTTGAAGCTGGATGGCTATCTCCCTTCCCGATCAGTAGATGCTTAGAAAATTGGATTTTCCCATTTGAAGGTTAAGAAGATCGTTTGAAGTACTTCTTTAAAAATAAATGCCTACACTGAAGTTGTAAATTTATTTGCACAGTGACCTCAGTGTGATCCAGGTATGTCCTTTCATTGCCTCCCCTTGGGTTTTAAAGAGCCAACACCAGCCCTCCCTCAGGCGAGCTTGGTGTTTGTGCCCAGTCCTCTAAGAGGAGGGTTGTTAGTTTTCCATTAGAAGCTTCTTGTAAGTGATGGAGGGCAGTGGTGGGACCCATGAAAGTGGTCAGAACCAGACGCAGTCAGGATTCAGGGTTTACCACTATCTGATTGCAGCCTTTCTTTCCACAGATGGCTTGACCTTCTTGGGGGGTAGCGGTAAGGAACCTCAATGTGCTGAGGTCCACTCATCCATAACTCTGGGCTCTCACCCCTATGCCTTCTCTCTAGATTTGGGCAAAGAACTTGATTTCACAAACAGTGAAGTCCTCTTTTTTCCCTGAGTTAGCTGTCTAGCTCTCCTGGCTTCGGACTTCTCTTTTCTTGAAGTCTAGATCTTTGTAACAAATTCCTATTCTTTTCATTTTGTGTGGATGGGAGTTTCACTTGCTGCTGTTTAAGCCGTGTGGTGGCATCTGTGCCCTATGGGGACAGCAATCTTCGTCTTTGCATCACATCTGCAAGTGCTGGGTGCAGCCATTATTGCTCCCAGAAAATCTTGATGGTCCTTTGGTCAAACCAGAAAGTTCTACACGTAAGAGAGTAAGTCACACCTATGAATCTGCAGCTCACAGTCCAGAGGAGAGAACAGATGATGGCTATAAAGAATTTTACTATAATCCTCACTCCAGGTCTCTGTCCTTGCCTAGGAGATTGTCCCTGACGTGCTACTTTTGTTCAGGTCTGTTTTCCCAGGGGTGTGTTTTCCCAGATGGTGAGAATGCCAGGCTAACCACAAGCATCTCATTGGCAAGAATTTGAAAAGGGACCAACAATCTCACTGTCTACTTCTACTCTCAAAAGTAGCATCATAAAGAGTGCCATCTATCTGAAAGACTTTGTTTTCTCTAAAATGGCGACCCATGTAGTCAGTTCTTTAGTAACTCCTCCTGCTCTCTTGTCTCCCCAAAATTGGCAACCAGAAGTGAGTGTAACTCTGAGGCCAAGGAAAGAACAACTGGTTTTTTCACACAAGCATTTTGCATTTCAAAACCTTTGTGCCTGTAGCACGCTGTTGCATCTTCATATATGATAAATATATTTCTTTACATGTTAGCTGACGATCATTCTGTTTTTTAAAGTCCACCCTGGTGGACTTCTGTGTATTGAGACAGCTAAAGAACAAAGGCCCCACGTGTCCACTGTTGCAGCCCAGCAGTTACTGTGTGGCAAGGTAGCAGGAAGACCAGCTTCCTTCTTGCCAAGCCACAGATTCCTCTAAGCCCTTAAGTTCACCTGCTTCTTGGTTATTGCTAATGACTAACTGGGGCCTTAGTCATATAGTAAAAGGTTCTGCATCCATTGACAGATACCCAAGGTCAAGTGTACTCACTATAAGTCTATCAACTGTTTCAGATTCTCTGACCTTATTAAGTTTTCCCCAAATTTTGTCCCAGCATCAGTCAATATGCTTATATTGATGGTACTGGAAATATAGTCTGTGGCCACAGAACATTTCACTCCTAACCTCTAGATGCAACCTCACCAAGTTTGTTTGTTTTTGTGTGAATTTGGGACATATTTTCTCAATAGTGACTTATTAGAATATATTTCTTGTATAACTAAAGAAAGCATTGTTTCAAACAGTTTGCAAACTTTAAAATATATTAGAATTATCTGGGTAACTTTCAAAGGCATATTTGTGGGCTCCACTGTAAATAAATTTGTGAGTCCATCAGAAAGGGCTAGAATCTGATTTAAAGAGCGAGTACCCCACACTTGTTTGTGATTCTGATGTAAGACATCTAGATATTAATTTTCAACCACTGAGTCTTTACTATATAAAAACCTAATAGTAAATCTGGGCCATGAGGCATTTCAGATTTATCCCTTGCTTTTACAGAGCTTACCACCCTGTAATAGAGGCAAGCATAAGAGAAAGATTATTAAAATAATTTAACAGAACTATTCTTCTAGATAAATATGTACACGTTGAGGGGGTGGGGGTGGGAGAATATTGGCAAGACTCCAGGCCCAGAGGGCTTGAATTTGTGGGGGTCTCACCCACGGAAGGGCAGGGCCAGATGGGGAGTTCCTGCTGAGCAAAGGGGAAGCAGAAACACACTGTTGAGATTAAATTGCCCTGAGAATGGCTGCCTGCTGGCCTGGGGCCCCTGGGATTTGGGCTCAGTAGGAGAGGGGTGGGGGACCTCTAAGGACAGAGTTCAACTGGATCCTGAAGGGTCTGTAGGAAGCCATTAATGGCCTTCTGTATTTTCTCTTTTTCAAGAGACACCTGTTTCTGAGAGTTCCCCCCCCCACACACAGTGCAATCTTAACTCCCTTACCTTACCCTGTGCTCTCATTTGCTTCCATCACACTAAATCAACCATGAACACAAATCTCAGGGGTTTATACCCTTCCTCTAGTGTGGGCCGTGGTGGGACACACTCCTGCTGCTGGCCCCCCAGGCTATAATTCTGATGACCTTCCTTTTGCCACCCCTCCACCCCTACTGTCACTTTTGTTGACTTTGGTTCCCTGCGGCTGCTAACGTCAGCAGCCTGGCTGTGTGGCTGCTTCTCAGAGCTTGGAGTGGAGAGACTGGAAGGCCTCGGGTGGTGTTGGCCCAGTGTCACGAGGTTGGCCAGGAGACAGTTCCCATACTCTGTAAATTAGGAGTGCTTGGAGTGATTTAGGAGTGTTTTCAAGATGCCCGAGTTCCTGCATGTGACAGCAACTTGTATACTGTTAAGCACTGTGCCAATATAAATCATTGTTCTTACGCAGCCTCCGTAGGGAACGAGGCTGGTGGGCCCTGTGCTGCTCCTGTACTAACCCACTTCCACTCTCTGTGCCCAGTAGCATTTTCTGGACAACCAACTGTGATTGGCTTATTCTCTTCCACTTTAAGTGGTTCCCCTCCTTGATGTCCTCACATCGATGGCCCCTATGCAGAGCCATTTAAGGAAGCCACCATAACCTTCCTAAGATATTTTAGGATTTTGTTTTGGGAATTGCATGTTGCGCACATAAAGCGTGTCTATGTGACTTCATGACATGAGTGTTTTGGGAAGACCCAGGGAAGATGCTGAACCCACAGTGGTGGCATTTTATACTAAGTTTTAGCATTCAGTGCTGATTCACTAAATAACCAGTCATTTGCATTTTTTTTTTTTTTTTTTGGACTTGTGTCTCTTCCATTTAACACCTTCTACTCGTCAAGAGTAGCGGCTGCCAAATTCCTTGTGTATGATCCGCCCCATGGAATCTATGGATTACACCTCTCTTTGCCCAGGTGGACTCTTGGCCTATCGGGCAATGTTCTTCCCCTGTCAATTCATTTTTAGCTCTTCTAACTATATCATCAGTATAACAAAGGAAATTCTAGAACAGTAGGTGTAATGCTATATATCACAGGATTTACATTGACTAGTAGGTGTAGGCAAGTCTAAGCTATAATGTTGCCTCAATTTATGAGCATGAACAGTCAGGAAATGTGTTCTGATTCCCCACCCCCAGAAGCCTGGGCATTTTCTGTAGCACATCCGTTATGGGCCCCCGCATTCCTGTGTATGATTTCAATTAAGTCAACTTCGTATTTTGTCACCGAATTTCAGAACCAACGATTTCAGTCCTGTGTCTCAGTGTTGGTTTTGTTTTGGTTTCTCTACTTTATCACTTCTGTGACAGGTCTGATTGCTTTGAGATGTGGCTGTGAAATCCCCTCTGCCACCTGTTTTGTGGCTGACCTGTCCTTTCCCTGCCGTCTGCAGAGAAATCTGAGTCGGGCCACCCTGGAGCAGAAGCAGTTGTCTGAGAAGCTAAAAGATGAGGCTGAGCAGAAGGAGCAGTTAAGGAGACTGAAGAACGAAATGGAGACAGAGCGATGGCATCTTGACAAGACTATTGAGAAACTGCAGAAGGAGGTGAGGGAACAGGAGGAGCAGGGGGGAGAGGCAGATGGGAGGGAAAAGGGCAGAAATCATGGGTCAGGACCCAGTTCCCTGTGTGAGCCTCAGGAGAGCTCTCCTGCGTTTACGTCCCAGCACAAATGTGGCAGGGATTGCAGGTCCCTCCCTGAGCATCTCCTTGGACTTACTGAGAATCCCAGATACAGGGAAACTGGTTTAGAAAAAGTAAATGCCAGGACCCTCTGGATTCTGGGCCTAGCTCCTCTCAACAATTACCTGAAGAAATCTAGCTTGTAAATGTGGACTCAACAAATGTTATCCAATTTGTGCATTTGTGCATAACATATACAATTGCACCTATCACATTTAACCAGGATTGTGAAAGGAACTTTCACAGTGGTTGCTGCTCATTTCTGACCCAAACGCCAGTGGTTGCTGCTCATTTCTGACCCAAAATACCCAGAAGGCATGAAGCTGCTGGGCTCCCTACTTCTAGAAGCCAACATGAGTGCCTGCTATCTGCTCTGGCCAATGACTTGACTTTCTATTTTGTATCTAACTGAAATCCTCTCTAAATATGAGATGTTTCGATTTTTGACAAACCTGTAAGAGCCTCTAAGGCCCAGAGAGGTTAAATCAGTCCCCAGTTTGAGACTGCGAAGTGGCAGAGCAAGGATATGACACTGGACTGTGTATCTAGCCTAGAAGGATGAGCTTGTCCACTCTTCCCTGCTGCTTCCTTTGCAAAACCTCTGGAAAGGCTGTAGAAGGAGGTCTGTTCCATGCTTAGAAGGGACCTGGTCCTGGCCCCCTGGCCCCAGATGGAGCATACCAGGGTGGGCTCACCCCCATGTCACTTCTTCCAGATGGCCGACATTGTCGACGTGTCCCGCACATCAACACTGGAGCTCCAGAACCAGCTGGATGAGTACAAGGAGAAAAATCGCAGGGAGCTTGCAGAAATGCAAAGGCAGTTGAAGGAGAAAACCCTAGAGGCAGAAAAGTCCCGTCTGGCAGCCACGAAAATGCATGATGAGGTAATTGCTGGCCAGATCAGGTCCTGCTTTACCCCTTTTATGGTGTCCTTCCAGAATGCTTTTTAGTTCTTCTAAGAAAGACTTGGGATAGATTCTTAACACAGTGACCATGCTTGGCTTGATTCTTTAGTCTTAATCCTTAGGATGGTTAACTGGGAGAACTGGCATTCTGAGACACAGAAGACCCAGCTGAGGTGAAATTGACAGCTTTTATGTGACCATTTTTTGAGTAATAACATAAGTTTAGCTATCATTTCTGGAGCACCAGTGGTGTGCCTAGCTGAGTTCAAATGATTTGTATATGTTGATGTTTTAATTTAATCCTACAATAGTCTTACAGAAACCAATTGGTTTTTTGCCATTCATTTAGAAAATGTAGACTTTTATTGGAATGGGAGTGGCAATCAAGAGTTTCAGAACAACAATAATGGAAACAAAAAGAAATCCTTAGGAATTTGAGTCTGAAATTATTAAGGCATACTTTTGATTTTATATTTGAGGATAGCGCAAAATAGCCCAAATGCTAGCTAGCTCCCTTCAGTCTTGACTTCTAAAGAACTGAGAAAAATAGAGGGGCTGTTTTTGATTATTTTAATGGAAGCTGGAGGCTCCAAAATGCAAGTTCAGTGTATGCTGCTTTCTAGCTTTGTCTCTTGCCAGCTGGATGACCTTGAGCAAATTATCCCAATTTTCTGAGCCTCTGTATCTACCTTTTAAATGTAATGATTTAATAATTGAGATGTGAAATTTTATAGTAGAGGGTATATATGTCTTAGACACTGATGTTAATTTTTTTAATTCTAAAGTGTTTTTTATTTTTTTCATAAGCAGTGCCAAGAGCAACAAGATTCCACAGGAAAAAAAGTTTTTCTTTAAAAACCAAACTTTTAATATATTTGATGATCAAAGAAAAGTTTCCACAAGTCAGTGATAAAGCTGTGTAAAAGAACAATGGATATTTATTACAGGCTTCTAGAATACATCTGAAAGGACCCTGGTAACAGATCTGCTGTGATTCAGGGTCATATGATACAGAACTGCAAGTAAGAACTGAAATTAGCATATTGACATCACAGTTCTTTCTGGCATTAAAAAAAAAAAGTCATTTTCATTTATACAGCAAATGGGGATGGGAGTGGGGAGATTCAGATATTTGCCAGAACACCAACAAACACCTGGCTTGCTGCTTTGGATTTTGAAAAATCGCAGTGTCACAGTGCTTCCTCTTGCTTTTTGTATGACTATTCTGCTAGAATCTTCAGATTGGAAGGAATCTTCGCAATCTCCTAGTTAGATAAGGAAACTGCTATCCAGAGATATTAGTTAAGACCAGATGGAGAACAGTGTTATATAAAAGAGCAATAATTCAGAGAAGAGTTCCTTACAGTAGAAAAAAAGATGATCTTCTTAGGTTTTGTCAGTGTCTCAGCCTGTGAGAGACACTGCTCCCATTTGAACGGTAAGAAAGGATCCATTATCACACTCCAAGGAAACTACAGGTAGATTCCACCCCAGATCAAGTTGCTCGAATCTTGGAGTTGTTTAAAACAAAAGTAAATAAATTAGCAAGCCAAGGTCACTCTGGATCCTTGAAAAATTCAAGCTCAGCTTTGTTCACCACTATCTGCCCTATGTTTTGGGTGAGCTGAATGAAACTCTTTAAGGAAAAAAAAAAAAGCCAGAGACTCATCCTAACTCCTCACCTTCTTTGCTGTGAAAGAAAGACATTTTACTGACTTACCTTTGAAGTGAAGTTAGAAAACTGATGACAATGATGATCTTTTAGAGAATTAAGACTTAAAGTTCAATGCTGTTCAATTGATTTTCTAAATCCTACTTAGCAAGGGTCAGATTTACCTACTTAAAGGCAGCACTAGTAGTGGGTTCAAAAGTTGTGTGCTTATTTTTGAGTCCAGGCACTAAGTTATATTCTCGTGTGTGCCCTTACTTGTTACTAAGTATGTCATAGCCCTTATTAATGTCTGAGGGATGCACTGGGCACTGGAGGTAGGAATATTCTGGGCATTGGAAGGGATACTACTCTGGCTCTCAAACCCACATTTTTTTGGGGGGGTGTTATCTCATGGGATTCTCTTAGCGGCTCTATAAGGTAGGTTTTATAGTTGTTGTAATATTGCAAAATAGGAAACTGCCCCAGGGAGAGGTTTACTGTTATTATTAAGACTTTATTTCCGAGAAATTTTAAATGCTCTGGAATAGAATACATCCTCTGTATCCAAAGAACATTCCATTATCCTTTTTTCATGGGATGACTATGACTGTCACTTTGTGCTTTCACTCAGTCACTACCCAAAGCAGACCAGAGTCTTTATCTGGCCATGTGTTCTTCAAAAATATATTCTTACCAAAATCTCAGGTGTTCCCGTCAACCTTGGAAGAGGAACACATTTCCAAAAGTTTGTCTACTCGTCTTCCTAAATTTGCCCCAAAAGACTCTCTGGGGGCTTCCCCAAGTTTTCTGTGACAATCCCCCCCGGGAGATGGTGTTTGTTCTTAGAATTTCTCACTGTTATATACTACCTGTAGGAAATAAGGCCGTGGTGTAGTCTGTTCCCAAGATTGTGCTTTCACCTGTACCATCTCTGGGAGGGCAGGAAGTTGAGAACAAAACAGACAGTCTTGGGCTTCACCAAATCAGTCCACATACATGTTTAAAGTATACCTAATAGGGTTGCTTGTTGATTTTGATTTTTACTTTATTATAATTAGTTTTTCCTGGTCCCTTATTTAGGTTTTCTAGATTCCTACTATGAGTGAGACCATCCAGTATTTTTCATTTTCTTTCTGGCTTATGTCACTGAGCATGATCCCTTCCAGCTCCATCCATGTTGCTGCAAACCAGAGACACACTACAGGGGAGAGGTGGGGAAGGGAGTAGGGTCAAAACAAGGGGGGTGAGAATTGTATGGGAATTATATTGTATGAGAATTATATTGTATGAGAATTATATTGTATATAATACAATATAATTGTATTATATCCCCTGGCCGGCTAGGGATATAACCAAGATGAAAATGTATACATTGTGCAAAAATGAAAAATGATGTGAAAAATAAAAAATGAAAAAGAAGACTACCTAATATGTGCTGGGGAAAAAAAAAAAAAAAAGAATAATATGTGCCGAGGTGACTGGTTCCTTCAGGGAGATCCCAGACAAAGAGAAAATACAGATAGTGCTTTCTGAATCAAGCTCTTTCTTCAAAGCTATTAGTTCAGTGCCATCTTGTGGATGAAAAGAAAAACACTGTACGTGTTGTCCGCTGATACAGGATTTTCTTCCAGAGAGTAATGTTTTTTTACTTAATGCTTATGCCTGTATTATTAAATTTTGCTTATAACCTAAATTCTATCAAAGACTGGTAGCTTGGGGTCATTTTTTTAGTTTTCATTTTCCCCTAAATTTAGATCTCTGTTGAGATGGTGCTGATACAGGTGGGCAATACATTATATTGGTGACAGCACTGATCTAGTTTAATGGCTTTCTGGTGTTTTTGACCATGACCTATAGTCAGAAGTATGTGTTGGCACTGCCAGTCAGTAAGAACACATCCAGACAAGTATATGCGGATCTAGTACAAAAGTCTCATGGCACAGTATTTGCTAATACTCTATTCTGATATTTTTTCTCTCATATTAGTGGTTAACATCTAAATTGACCTTATAATTCAATGATTTGCCCCTGTAGGTAGAAAACTCTTTTTCTCTAAAGAAGGAAATGGAGGCCCAGATGGCACTTGATGAGTGTCTTCTGATCTCCAGTGTGTAGATGATGAGGGTGGTGATCTTTGGGCCAGCCTGTGCACTGTCAAGGTCTCTCTGCTCTGATGCTCCCCAGCTTAACCACCCCACCTGCTTCTCTATCTAGATGCGTGTGATGGAGGAAGAGTTACGGGACTACCAGAGAGCTCAGGAGGAGGCGCTCACAAAAAGGCAGCTTCTGGAGCAGACACTGAAAGACCTGGAGTATGAGCTGGAAGCTAAGAGTCACCTGAAAGATGACCGCAACAGACTCGTCAAGCAGATGGAGGTCTGTGGGTTATGGGGTGTGTCTAGGGCCTATGGAGGGTAGTGTGGGGTAGGAGGAAAGCAGCCTTTCTGCCTTTGGAAAGTCTTTATTCCCTTGACAGCCAGGCATTAGTAAGGTCATTTCTTGATCTGAGGAGCAAGATAGTACTTCATAGACTCCTAGGACATCAGAGCCACAAGGAATGATGGAAATAAGTTAGCCTCCTGTCTTTTTTTTTTTTTTTTAATTTTATTTTTATTTTTTTAATATTTATGCATGCAAGAACTGGGGTACAGGCTAGAGGTGTGGGGGGTGAGAGTATTCACCAGAGACAGAGTGGGGAACAGAACAGGTGGACTGACTGAAGTACACTGCTGAGGGGAGCAGCTGGCGAGACAGGAGAGGTTGCTTCGCCATGTGGGTTGCTCCCTGGCCGGCTAGGGATCGAACACGTGCTGCAGTGTCTGCAGATAGCCTCATAGGTTGCGTCTTAACCCCTTGCGCCAGCAGGGAGGCCTGTGTCTTTACTGTCTTTGCAAGGAAGTAGAACAGCCATCAAGAGACTAGGTGATCTTACATAGGGACACACAGTCTGTTTTCTGGTTGCTGCTGTAGATGGTGCTTCCAACTACAAAGGAGTTAGGACTGCTGTAAATCCACAGGGGGGCTGCCCCCCCCCCCCTGGACTCAAATTGCTGAACTAGGGACACCCAGTGCTCATTTGTGACACCACAGGTTCCATTCTTGTTTCCTGATTTCTGGTCTCTTTCACACAGATGATCAAGCTGTGCTAAAGCCAGCAGCAAACTGTGGCTTGATTCATTTGTAGAGACGTATATACTTAGTCCAAGAAAGTGTTAGTGGAGTGACCAGTTGGGGGTCGTCTGGTCACAAAATGAAAACACATTAGCTTGTTTTGTGAATCAAGGATAGAATCTAAATGTGAAAGGCCCACCAAGAATGACAGCAAGGTTAATATTAGTCCCCTGAACTCACAGAAAAAGAATAATCTTCAAGAACAAAATTCACCCCAAGCCAGAAACACCCACACACCCCAATAGAATTTAGAGACAGAGACCTAAAAATAAATCTCAGACTTAGGGCAGAAGTTAAATTGTCAAGGTTTTGATAAAAGACAGACAGTGCTCAAGGTCAGGGAGAGTTTGAATTTAAAAATTCAATAGAATTCTTGACTCAACTTTGTGAATAAATAAATAGAAATAACCTCCAGGGGACTTAGTAGCAGATTAGATCAGGGAGTGATGTTTCAACCACTAAAGATTTTATTAGATGGGCCCTTTATAGAGACCAAAATAACCTGGTTAGTTTTATTTTTCTTTTGTGGGATTGCTGTATATTTTGCTAATAGTCTGGTTCTAATCTCTGTAAGGGAGGTCCTCTGCAGGCAAGCTGAAGCCAGCCCAGTTAACTAGAAACTGATTATTCAAGGGCCCAAACAATCTGATTAAAAGCAAGCTAAAGGCTCTTCAGGCAGTGGTGTGAGAATTTTTGGTGTAATCAAGCCTGGGCTGGCCCCCTAAAGCTCTGCTGGGGTCTCTGCAGATGTTAGGCAGAAAGAGAGCCCTGTAAATAGCTCCTTTAGCTGAAGATTGGGTTGTCCCTGAGAAAAAATCATTTTTTTGCTAACTTGAGATCTAAAAGCAGTGACAGAGCTGTGGTTCATACGTCCCTATGCGGTATTTTAGATATTTCTCCATTAATGACTAGATACCAACCTCTGTGAACACGCTGGAAGCGTGTCTCTTCCCCCTAAGTGGACACTGGCAGTACTCTCTTGCTGTGACTCAAGTAGTGCCTGTTGTTCACTAGCACTTAACAAATGAATTGATTCTCAACAATGGGCATTTTCTGTGCAAACTCAGAAATTCAGGTGACTGTTTTACATAAACACAGCATGTAGCTCCTTAGTGATTTCAGACTAGGGTGAAGCTGGGCAGGAGGAGTTAGGAACTGCTGGACAAATGAGAGGTTTAGTGCAGGACACAGACTTAGTTCTGAGCTGGGATTCCCTGAGAGAGAAGATTGCTAGCTTCCCTGTAGATTTTAGTTGCTAAAGGTAGTTCATTCACATGAGGTTTTTATTTTTGGTGCTTACAGAGGCATCCGTTACTTGTTAGCAATTTTGACCATTGCAGAGACTATGTTTGTGTGCAAATGCTGCAGGTTGGTTTAAGAAACTCAATGCTGATTGCTTTTCAGTGTGTGTGGTTCAGACACAAATTGGCTGGTGACAGCATATGCATCAACCCCACTGCTCCCCACTTCTCGATGGGGTGGTTTGTATTCAAAGCCGCTTTTTTTCATACACAAAGTAACTTTTCATACACAAAGTATGCTTTTCTCATAACAGTCAATGATGCTAAGATAGGAGCCAGCAAGAAAGCTACTAGTTATTGTTCTATGATGATTGGGGTAGCAGAATGGGCCAGACGGTCTTTATGTATCCAGAGCAGATTCAGGATTGTACATAGTTCTCTAGGAGAAATAAGGGGGTGCAAAAGACTGCTGGAGATTTTTCTCCTGAGAGACTCTTGGAGCAGAAGAGAAATAAAAAAACATTGCCTAGAGCATGAATATTTACAGAATGTGCCTTGAACAAGAGCTCAGCACCCATGTCTTTTTAACATGTAACCAGCCTAGGCAGATCTTTTTTTTTTTTTTAAATAGAGGCATGTTTTATTTATTTGTTTGTTTGCTTGTTTGTTTATACATGCACTGGGTACAGTCAGAAGCGCGGGAGGGTGAGAGAATTCACCAGAGCCAGAGCGGGGAGCAGAACAGGCAGAAGGACCGAAGTACACTGCTGAGGGGAGCAGCGGGCGGCAGGAGAGGTCTGCACGCCATGTGGGACCCTCCTCCGGTGGCCGGGGAGCAGCCTGGGATCGAACTGGTGCCGCAGGGGCCGCGGGCAGCTTCGCAATCCAGCGCTCAACCGCTGCGCCACCGGGGAGGCCCTGCCTAGGCAGATCTTTTTAAAGTTAGTGATTCACACAGGGAAAAAAGATTGATAGAAACATGCTAAAGTGTTTGTGGACATCTGAGGTAATATTTATTCTCCTATTTTATATATTCCATGTTCACAATTACATTTTCTATTACATAGAAGCAATAATAGCATTTTAAAACATCTACTTTGGGAAGTGTAAGAAATATTTGCATCCTCTTCCCAAGTCTTAATAATAGTTCTCATCTGCCTGTGGGGTTTTCCTTCCAAGCAGGAGGACTTGCTCCTAAAACAGAGCCATGCAAGTTAAGTAGACTGAGCTTGTGACTTCTTTCTTAGGACAAGATGTCGCAACTGGAGATGGAACTGGATGAAGAGAGAAACAACTCGGATTTGCTGACTGATAGGATCACCCGCAGCAGGGAACAGGTACTGTGCTATGCACTTATTTGAACCATGGGTGAAATTTTCCTGCATGGAAGTGAAAAGAAAGTTTTGCCTTATGGAAATGATGAAAAATTGAGCAGCGTTCACCACACAGTAAGCCACTACCAGGAGGGAGGTGCAAGTTATCAGAGGTTATGTGTAACAGCCTGTGAATCCTAATAGCCAGGATGCTTTCAGAGTTGAGATTCTAAGATCATTAATTTAATAAGCAATTGTGTGAACTTGGTAGCTAGCACTTAGAGCAGAGACTTTAGATTCAGTAGCCTCAGCCTTCCATTTACGTGCTGCCTGTGAGCACGTGTAGAAACCTCTGATTCATGTACACTTTCAGTGATAACTTAGTCACATGCCTAGCTCCTGAAAATGCTGCCAGAGACTCTGTACAGCAACGCTTAGAAAACTCTTTAAACAATGCAAAAACCTAAAAGCCTCGGAAGATGCAGAGTATAACTTAGGAACCAACTATATAAAGGATCAAAATTAAAAATACAAATTTATTTGGGTAACATCTTCCCTACCCAAAGAAGCAGTTCCCTCTGGTCACTGTTCTGTGTATTCACAGTTACCACCTCTACCTATCTCAGGTGACCGAGACGGGTCACCCAATGCTTAGGAACAGTGCCATTCCCAGCTGGTGGCCTTGCTCAGGGGAAGGACTTCTCAATGACTTCTTTTTCGTCTGCCATTGTTTCCCTATTAGCAGCTTTTTTACAACCAAATTACTCATGCCACTTTGCTTCTGAGAGTGAAGGAAGTTCCAACTTGAGGGCCCATCTACCCCTCCACGCCACCCCAGCTCAGGTTCTGTGGACACCTTCCAACACCATACTAGGCTCCTTCCCCTGGAGGGGTGACTGCCCATCTGGCCTGAGATGCCTAAGTTAGAAAAAGACTTTCCTGAAAACTTAAATCCAGATGGAGAGCCCAGCCTTGACATTTGGGCCCCAATGGATTCTTACCAAAGTCTGCATTTTTAAGTTCTCTCACTGATTGAGAAGCTGTTCTGTTATGAGTTCCTGCCGGCTGTTTCGCCATGTTGCCCAGGGTGTGTCAGGATCTGCTGAACATTGGTGATGATAGAAGAACTGGAAGCAAATGTGTTCTGCTAATGCCTCTGTGACTTAGGCAGGAAGGAGTGGTGGGGGAGTATGTCATCCTGTCAACCAGGCAGTGAAAACAGACTTCCAGACCCATGTTTTACACCAAGAAACAAAATACAAATGGAGTCGGGGGAATCGCCTTCCTTGGCTCAGTTGATGGCCCAAAACTTACCACTAAGTTGTCTCGTCCCCAGAACTGCTTCTGGTTCCTTTTTTCTCCTTTCACTGTGTGCTTGAATTGTGGGGAATAGAACTGCTGTCCACAGGGTGAAGGCTGAACATATTTTCACTGAGCCGAGAACTCGAAGCAAGCCTAGGGAGGAAGTTAAGGGAACTTGGTCTACTGGAAAGAGCACAGGCTGCATGTCCTGGCCTCTCTCAAATCCCTAAAAATGAGGCTATTTCTAAATGCTAATTTTGAAATACTCTGAGAATGTTTTATAAAAACCTCAAGACTCAAAATATACAAGTCACCCTTTACCTTTCCTCCCTGGCTCTGAGTCTGAGTTCTCTGGTAGGAGATGTGTGCCACAAGAGTCTCCGGCCTCTCCTCTCTGTGAGTTCTCTGCCTCTTTTCATTGCACTCTGACATAGCGGGAGTAAAACCTGAGGTCTCTATTCAAGTGGAGAAATTGAGCATCGTGTTCAAATTGATATGGAAATGGCTAAGTCAAAACCACCTCCCTGAAGTAATGTCTCCTGGGTGCTCAAGGCCTCTTTTTGGGCTTTTGCTTCCCCGGGATTTGTAAGAAACAGTAGAGAAATGGGTTGGCCAAATACCTGCCTTGTAAGAAAGCATTTCATTCTCAAAATTGAGGTCAATCTGAAACTTATTTTTTGCCTCTTAAAGTACAAACTCCAAGGGGAAGGCCCTAATTTTAAAGTCATTTTAATCCACTTAGATTAACTTCTGGAGCCTTGTGGCTACTGCCTGCCTGCCAGAATCACAGAAGCAAGACACGTCCTTACTTAAGACCCGTTCTCCTCTGCCCCCTCAAAGGCTGCCTTATGACCCCTCCCACCAGGGGTCATCTCCTGCAGAACACAAGATGTGCCCAGCTGTGATCTCTAACCCAACCAATAGCCCTAGATGCTCAGCACTCCACCCCTAGGTGCTGAAGTGGGAAAACATGGGAAACTTTGTTTTCTCCATTTTGCCCTCTCAGTGACTATTCTTACAAGCTCCTCTTATAAATTATTTCTCCAAACATCTCCCATTCCTTTGCTCAGTGTTAGAAATCGATCGTAGGTGAAAAAGCTAAGGGGAAAAAATGATTTCCCAGGAGGATTAGTGAATGGCTAGCCCCTCCCACAGAATCTTAGGTCTGAACAGGACCTCCGAGATCATGTTCCCAGACTTTCTTCTCCTGTAATGGATGAGCAGCTGAGGCCCACCACCACCCTGGGCATGGCCAGGTCACACGACTGGTTTGTAGCAGAGCTGACCTTAGGTCTCACGACTCCCACGATGGCGTTCTAGCTGCTGGTGACTGTGGAATATGATGGATTTCTGCTGTGTGCGGTAAGGCTGTGCAGTTAGCAAAAGCAGTACCTGTCCTTGATGTGCTGTGATTTGTTTGAGGGGAAGAGGCAGGTTGAAAACACAATTAACAAGCACAGGCAGCAGACACTAGATGCTGAGTGAAGGAGTCAGGCAGTGATGAGGAGGCCCTCATAGCCCAGGCTGCTGTGGGAGAGTTCTCAGAGGAAGGTTCTAAGAGCCAGCTCTGAAGAAAGGGTAAGATCTGGACAAATGAAAAAAGAGTGGAAAAGAAATCCGAGAGTGAATGGTGTGAGCCAGGATAGGGAGGTAGGAACTTATACAGTGTTTTGAGGAGTAATGATTGACTGCTCTGTCTTGGTCAAGTTTCTAGTTTCCATGATGGAATAATAGGTAAGTTAGGAGAGGCAGTTGGAGGATTTTGAATACACCCCATCCTGAAGTAAAGAGCCATCAAAGGCTGTTGAGCAGAACAGTGAAGTGGACACAGTGTTCTAGGAGATTAATGTGTGGGGTCAGGGTTAGGACAGGAGGAAAGACCAGGACGAAGCCTCAACCAGGCTAATCCAGGGACAGGAATGATCAGCATTCTATGCTGTGCTGCCGTGCCTCAGGTTTTTCTTTCTCTTGTGAAAATCTACCTGGGTATGTCTTAAGTGTGTCCCACAGGTCGATATTCTAGCTCATTGGGCATTGCCACATTGTTGCTGGTGGCTGAGTGCAGACAGTTAACAGAAGATAAACAGGGCAGTGTGTTCTTGGCCATGGAGACCCAGATGACCCAGTGCAGTAGCAAGACTCTTCATCCAGCCCAGGCAGCTGACAGGTGGAAAAATACCAGCTCAAAAGCTTTGGGTGGCCTTGTGGTCTTCCAGGAGCTGAGCAAGGCTGCTCTGTCACCTTGACAACTGTGGGATCAACCCCAGTGGCTAAGGTTGTGGATCTCCAGTCACTTTCTTGAACTGCTTACTCCCCAGTGACCAGCTCACACTTGCTCCTGGGAGGTGTATCCACCAGGACAGGGACTTGGAAGGGAGGTTCCATTGCTATTAGTAAAATATCAAATAGAAGTGTTTTTTTTTTTTTTTTTTTTTTTTTTTTTTAAGTTAAAAAGAACCTCATCTCAGAACTGCCTCCTGTTGTATTAACTGCTCAATAATACAATGTATGTAGTTTAACAATCATTTTTCTTTCCTGTGATTGAGCCTCTCTTAATACCAGCCGTGAGTATATTTACAGTCCAATGGTAAACACAGGTGATGGGGTTAAATATTGTTATTAGCAATCATAAATATCTCTGGCTTTTCATTAACCCAGAAGGCAGCTGCTTCTAATCCTGCGAGCTGGCTCAGGTCACGACTGCCTCTGACATAAACCCCCTGGCATCTGACACTGTTATTTCCGATCAGAACGTTCAGGGTTTAGCATTCTTGCAATCCAGCTGTGATAAACTGTTGCCGTCAGCTCCTGTTCTGTTTTTAATTCGACTGGAAAGTTTTTGTTTGGTCTATTTAATATAGTTGAAGGGTAAACAGCACATAAAGATTATTTGAAGCTTATTTCCTGGGTTTGAAGGTGGAGGCTGGCCAAGCCAGAGGCTTTGTTGTTAGCTGAGGCTCAGGGTAGGAAGAATCTGATTTGGAATATTCCCAAATCATTAGGCTGGTCTTAGGATCATGTGAGAAGCACAGCTAAAACACAGGAGACATGCCTGGCTCTTGAGTGGTGTTCCTTGTGTCAGATTCTACGTGGTAGATTTTTGAATTTAGTGTCAGGCTGTCCTTTTTGAAGAAATGAAGAAAGCCTATCATGTTTGCCTGCCGAGAATCTTGGTTTCCAAGACTCAAGAAAAAATGGCCCTTTTACGGTTACTGTTAAGTTTTATGGTTCTGCATTTGCTCCTTCCTGTTTTTCGCTGATTTATTTTACACTTCCACTTTAATAGCCAACATTGAGGGGATGTGGTAGGGAATAAGGTGTTTTCTTCTTTTGGTACCGTTTGCCTAGGGGTTCTCCTGGGAGGTCTTGACCCTGCAGAAGGGGTGCTGCTTCCTTGACCGCTCATCTGTAGTGTGAGCCACACTCCTGGCCAGATCCCTCTTTCTAGTCAGCGCCACTGAGGGAGCAGAACTGTGGCCAGTAACTGCTCTTTCAGTCACGGGGTTGGTCCTGAACCCCCAAGCCTGGGCCCAGTACTGCCTGACCATTGGGTGGTCCTTGAGACCCTCCACTGTCCTGACAGAACTCTCCTTCCTTCTGGAGTTGCCCTTCATGTACCTGTATGCCCTACAGCCTTGCTGAGAGAGAGAAGGAGCATACGGTTTTCAGCCAGAAGGCCTAGGGTAGAGCCCCAAAGCTGCTTCCCATGTTGTTGCACCTCCCACCTGGAAAATAGGGGTGATAACATCTGGCTTAGAGTGCCAAGAGGATAGATGGAATCAGACTCACTCAGTGCTTGTCGCCAGGGGCTCTTTTGCGCTGTTTCTCTCTTGTTCCTCACGCGGGGGCATAGCTGCAGTCATCTGCAGACCCACATTTGCAGAGGCTGGATGGCTGCAATGAGACCCTAACCTCTGCCTGGTTGGCCTTTTATTATCTTTAGTACTTTTTGGCTCATATCCCACAGCAACTAAATTTCCAAATCTCGTTCACTAAAAGCCTCCAGTTCTCCCTTATCCCTTCACTTTTGGGAAAATAATCTCCCTTCTCTTCCTCCCTCACCTCCAAGCCACATAAGTTATTCTCTCTCTCCCTCTTGGGCTGTCCCCAGTGCCAGGCCCTGGATCACATCCCTTCCTCATGTGACGGTCAGTCTCCTGTCACACACCCTCTGGCTACAGCCCATCACTTTTCCCATCTCTGTGCTCTCTGCCTGCTAGTAGGTATGAGCTGTCTCTCCTCTAGACCTCTCTGTGACCCTGCCAGCTCGCTGGTTACCCTCAGTCACAGCTGGAGTCCTGAAGGAGAGCCGTCTCCACACCCAGTGCCTTCCAGAGTGAGCTGATTGTCCAGTCAGGTACTTTGTCCTCAGTCCTCGCCCTTTCAGGACAGTTCGGTGTCCTGGTTTTCAAATCCCTGCCTCCCCTAGCCAGGAAGGGAGCACTCGAGGACACAGGTGAGTGTTCTTTCTCCCTGTATGTCTGCCTGGTGAGCTCATCTGTGCTGTGGCTTCAACTGGCATCACCCAATCTCCACTCTCTCCTAGGCTGGAGAGAGGGATGGGCACTCACAGTGCCTGCCTTGTGGGGCTGGTGAGGTTAAAGAACTAAAATGCTCAGGACTTTAGTAAGTGCAGGGCAGGTGTTCGTGATCATCACAGTGGCTATGTGTGAACGTCCCTGTCTGCCTTTCCTCCTGTCCACCTCTCTCTATTCCCTCCTGATCTTTACCTCCTGACCCTGACCTTTCAGTTATGTCCCCACTTAGGGCTCCTTCCCCTGGCCCTCCAAGTCTGAACTGTAACCACTGTCCTTCCTCAGTGTGGCAGTCCTGACGACACATGCAAGGCTTGTTTTTCCCCACTTAGCCTAATATGGGGGCAGGAAACATGTTGGTCTTTTTGAGCAAATGAACAAATCCACCCCATCCTTCCAAGTCCCCCCAGCACAGAAACATTCTCTCCTTGACAGAGTCTGTCTTTTCCAGGAGTACTCTTGGACGTCTGGAGAGAAGGGGGGACAACTCTAGCACAGGCCTCTGGCTTCCTCAGAAGGAATGCCACACAGCACCCAGAGGGTGGCGGAGCCACCAAAATATGTCTCACTGTGTCATGGGCCACCTCAAAGGGCCCTTTCAGGCCATCTCATTCAGGTTGCCTGTCTGAGTCTGGGCCCTGGAGGTGAGACGAGCCAGGTCGTACGTGGCACAGATTCAAGAATGGAGGCGGGACCACCACGCTGTCTTGTGTCATTACTCCCCTCAAAGTGAAAGTTTAACCATCCTCAGTGACGTCCGGGCTTGTCCCCAGAGGCAGATTGTGGTCCGGCTGTGTGTGGTGTGTCAGGAGTTCCCAAGCCACTCTGGAGTGGGGCTGTGAGTCTGCATTCGTTACTGTGCACTCTGTGCTCATATAACAGCTACAGAAACCGTTCTGGCACATTCTTTGCAACATGTGACTTTTGTTCTCTGGGGCCAAGCAGAATGGGAACAGCTGTGGGAGCTTTATGTGCTCTGCCTGCTGACCCTTTGCTGTGAGTGGCATTTTCCTTGCCGCACACAAGGATGTCCTGAGGCGGCTGACTGCCTCCCAGGCCCTAGTTTCTCCAAGACAGCTAAGTTTGCGCCCTACGTCTGGTTGAGCCTTTTCACAGAGCTGTCCCAAAGCCAGAGCAGGTGGCGTGGTAGGCAGTGATCATGCTGAGCCTGGGACCAATCCTGTTCTCACTAGTTACTTGTATAACTGCCTGGGGCCTCAGTTTCCTTGCTGGTAAAATTCCGAGTTTGGCAGTCAGAAATGCTCACGTGTCTACCTTTCACTTGTCCTCTAGCCTTCCTACCTCGCCTCTTCCCTCCCGATCTTTCATCCCCTGATCCCGACCTCGCAATTGTGTCCCCACTTAGTTCCTTCTCTAGAGGACTTTTAAGTTAGAATTTTTTTTACCCCATCACCTGTGGGCTGAGTCCCAGTCTCCTCCTGTGGTATTGGAGGCCTCATGTCTGGGCCCTGCTTCCCACTGACCTCACTTAGCACGCTCTGTCTCCCACTCAGCCAGCCGCACCACGGTCAGGTTGTGGCGAGTAAATGCCAACCTGACCCAGGGTGTTGGTCTCACTATTCCCCGGGGCCAGGGGGTGGCAGGTAAAGGGTGAGCTCATCTCACTAGAGTGCTTGCACAGGTCATGAAAATCAAGCCAAACCAGAGCATATGAGGCTGTTCCAGATGCCCCCCAGGCACTCCTGTGTGCACCTCTTACCTAACTTGGAGCCTGGCTTTCAGAAAAAAAGGCAGTTTTACGTTACCTGCCCGCGTATCTGTTCTTCTGCTTCATGTCGCCCTCTGCTGGACAGTGCTGCCAACTGCTCAAGTCCCTGCTGCTGAAGTCCGCTGGGAAGGGGACAGATGCTTGCAGGCCATGGCACTTCTCTCCCTGGCTCCTCAGTTAGGCTCATTTCTTATTAAAACAGAAGCAGCTCAGTAATCTTGAGCCTTTGCCAGGTCACCCGAGCTGCCCAGTGTTCTTGCTGACTTCTGTTTCTGGTATAGAAGAGAGAAATTCAGTGGGGTCACTGTTATGGCCCTTTCTGAAGTTTTCTGAAGTTGACAGTTGTCATGCAGCCATCGGAACTTAGGTGAATTCTAGCTCCCCTACTACTAGCTGTGCAGACCCCAGTAGTGGTGACTAGTATGACCCAGTTTGCATGAGACAGTCCCAAGCGCTGAGAAGATCCTCCGTTGGGGCAGATAAATTGAGATAGTGACTCACCAGCAAATGGATGGACATCTCTCTAAGCCCTTTGTTCTGCAGAGAGGCCATTACTTGCTTATTGGGGTCGCTGTGGGAGTGCCCGAGGATGCTGCAACTCGAGTTCTGAGCAGGCATATCTGTCCTCTAGGGCTGCTGTAACAGCCGTAGACCTAGGTAGTCTAGAACAGCAGAAATGTATTATGTCACAGTTCTGGAAGCTAGCAGCCCCCAGACAGTGTCAGCACAGCTCTACCCCATCGGGACTTCTAAGGGATCTTTCCTTCCCTCATCCTAGTTTCTGGTAGTTTTCTGACAGTCGTTGGTGTTCATCAGGCGTTCCCTCCATGTCTCCTCACACGAGGGTCTTTCCTCTGCGTGTCTGTCTCTTGCACCCGAGGTGTCCTTTTTATACGGGCACTAGTTATGTTGGCTCTGGGCCCACCCAGTGACTCATTTTGAGGACCTCTGTAAACACCCAGTTTCCCAATAAGGTCACACTCCAGGTATTCAGAGGTTCGGACTCCAGTGTATCTTTTTTGGGGGACACATTTCCATTCCTTGTGACACAATTAACTGATTATTTGTATCATATTTTATAATCACCAGGAAACCAAGAATGTCTAAGAAACAGCTCCTGCAGCCAAAAGGAGATGGCTGCAGGCCCCAATTGTGAAGAAAAGCTGACTGGATTGTAAAAATCTAGCGCCTGGGGACCATTTTGGCACAAAAGATAGAGGAACAACCCCCTAACCTCTGACTTTTTATCTGTTTGGTGTAGATGGAGCAGATGAGGAGCGAGCTACTTCAGGAGAGAGCTGTGAGGCAAGACTTGGAGTGTGACAAGATTTCCCTGGAAAGACAGGTGAGGGCAGGTGCTCCTTCCCCCTGTGGCTCCAGACTGGACCCCCCCCAAAACTCTAGGGCATAACTTACTGGAGAGGTAGTCTCCCCAATACTATTAAATCTCTTGAAAGTTTAGCAGCTGGAGGGAGATAACATTACAAGTGTTTTTTAAATCCTGAAGAGGACTAAACCCTAAAGGAAATGAAAAAGCACCAGTGTGATCAAATGCCTTTTATTCTTCACTGCTATGATAATTAGTGAAGGAGCCTATTTCTCCTGCACCCTCCCCCAAATAGGTTTATAAGAGGACAAGCCCATTTGTCTGACATCCAGGAGTCCCAGGACATGCCAAAGGTTTTGCTTTGGAATGTGATGGACTCGACTCTTGGCCTGCCAGGACATTGTCCAAGGCCTTTCCCTGGACACACATCCTGATGTGGAAAACAGGCTTTTTGCAGCCACCAGCCACTAAACTGTGGCCCACCACACTGTGCAGATCTACTCTGCTCTGCACAGAGTGTGGCATACACGTAGCCCCTCACAGCCTCCCTCTCTGGTTCTAGAACAAGGACTTAAAGAGCCGGATTATCCACCTGGAAGGTTCCTACAGATCCAGCAAAGAGGGGCTCGTGGTGCAGATGGAGGCCAGGATCGCAGAGCTTGAGGACCGTCTGGAGGGCGAGGAGAGGTGAGCCAACTCTGCTGTGGTGCAGCGGAGATCACGTCACATGGCGTTTCTGTGTTTGCATCTGTCCTGCTCCTCCATCCTCATATGCCCGTGAGGGCAGCAGAACAAGCACAGCCTTACTGTTATTGTTTCCATTTTATAGGTGAAAAACCTAGACATCCCCCGTGCCCCCCTCCATCTAAGTAAGCGACTTGAGCCAAGGGGCCCTCGTTAAATATTGTAGTGGAACTAAAACTTAGGATTCCCACCTCTTAATCCTTAGCTGTTCCACTGTCTCCTAAACACCTCCCTCATAAGCTGCTGATCTGAGGAGAAGAGGCAAGGGGCTGACCCTGCCTGGGGGCATGCAGGCTGCGGGGCAGAGATGGGCATGTGGCCCCCTCACAGCGGGAGGGAAGGACGAACTTCTCTCCAGCATCACAATTTCCTGCAGCTGGCTCTCAGGCTGTAACCTGGGCCAGCACTGGTTGATCTTGACTGATTTGTTCCTGTCAGTCACCTTCCTAGAAGGGGGTGTGTGTGTACATGTGCATATAATACTTGACATCTGTTTTCAGTGGAGCTTTTGGGGACTGGGCTGGAGTAGACCTAAAACACTGGCACTGCCTAGCCCCTCTGCCTTACCCAGTAAAGCTCAGGAAGAACTCAGAGCCTGTCAAGTACCAGCTCAGCCTTTGCGGGCTCTGCATCCTCAGGCGAGCCATCCCCTTCTCAGAGCTGGGTTCCTACCTGTCCAATGCAGCCATTTCTTGTACAGTTGTTTCTCTGACCGCAAGCCCCTGGCTGGAGCCTGCCAGCCTCCACAGCCTGAGCTGGGCCTCCTCCGGGGTCAGGAGTGAGAGGGTCCTCAGTTCTGCCTCCTGTGCCCCTTCAGAGACCGGGCGAGCCTGCAGCTCAGCAACCGCCGGCTGGAACGGAAAGTGAAGGAGCTGGTGATGCAGGTAGATGATGAACACCTGTCACTGACGGATCAGAAGGACCAGGTGAGAAGCCTCTGCAAGTTTATCCTCAGATGAGATCTTATGTCCCGGGCTGCAGGAGCAGGAGGAAGGCGGGGCCTCCATGGCAGATGATGGAGCAGTGACAGCCTGATTCCTCCTTTCTGCTCCCCCATTCTATGATGGAACTGGGCAGTTTCAGCAAACTTCAGGCCCTGACCTTGACTTTTATTATTTATTTATTTATTTATTTATGATTTATTTTTATTTATTTATTTATACAAGCACTGGGTACAGTCAGAAGCGCGGGAGGGTGAGAGAATTCACCAGAGCCAGAGTGGGGAGCAGAGCAGGCAGAAGGACCGAAGTACACTGCTGAGGGGAGCAGCGGGCGGCAGGAGAGGTCTGCGCGCCATGTGGGACCCTCCTCCGGTGGCCGGGGAGCAGCCGGGGATTGAACAGGCGCCGCAGAGGCTGCTGGCAGCTTCGCAACCCAGCGCTCAACCGCTGCGCCACCAGGGAGGCCCCTGACTTTTAAAAAGTCAACCTGTCTCAGTCTTACCTCCACTCTCCTGTCCAGGGCCGGGACTGTCCTCCAGCCTGCACTCACCCTGCCCTCTCTCCCGCTGCAGCTGAGCTTGCGCTTGAAAGCAATGAAGCGACAGGTGGAGGAAGCTGAGGAGGAAATCGACAGACTAGAAAGTTCAAAAAAGAAGTTGCAGAGGGAGCTGGAGGAGCAGATGGATGTGAATGAGCAGCTCCAGGGACAGCTCAATTCCATAAAGAAGGACCTAAGGTGGGCAGGTGCATGTCCCTTAGGAGACACACTTCCCTGACATTTGAGGCGAGCTTGATGCCTTGAGAGCATTCTCCTGCTGTCTCAAGCTAACTCCTTGCTGTTACCTTTTGGGGTGATCCCATCCTAGAGGTGAAAGTGACTGCTTCCACTTTCAGTGCTCCATGGGGACTCACACATGTCCTCCTCACACTGATGCTCTGATGTGATCTATTGGCCATTTGGGGAAACAGACTCGGCACATTAATACTAGCTCACTCCACCATAGAGGGGACTGCTCCTGGAGGAGCACTTCCAACTCTTGCCTGTTTCAGGGGAGACCTGCTTCTAGGCTCCCCTGCCATCAGGCCATGCCATATTTAGGATGGGATCAAAAAGAGCTCCCCGATCAAAGGAAAAATGCCCCCAGCCCTCCTAACTGTAGCCTCCCCCGGGGCGAGGTGGGCAGTTGTTCCCTGTTGCTGGAGGAACTGTTCAATGAAGTTCATGTACTCACATGCCACTCAGTGGGGAGAAGAGACACGAACCCAAGTCTAGAAAAATGTCCCTGTTGTCTCAGCAGACTGAAGAAGCTGCCAAGCAAAGTGCTGGACGACGTGGATGATGACGACGACCTCAGCACAGACGGGGGGAGCCTCTATGAGGCGCCACTGAGCTACACCTACCCCAAGGACAGCACCATGGTCAGCCAGATCTGAGTCCACCCCCAGGTCTGTGGGAGAGGCCCAGCATTCCTTGTGGTCACTCAGAAGCACCTGCAGCTGGAGAGAGGCGCTCCCCCCGCCCTCCCCGGAGCAGAGACCCATCGCTCCTTCTCACCTCACAAGCTGCCTCTTCCAGGCCACATCCCTCCTTGGGTCTTTAAAGGGCGGTGCAGTTCTTGTATCTTAGCCGTGTTGTGTGTTGCTCTCGCAGTTTGAAGGCTGAGATGCCTGGGGCTTAGACGCACTGCCCATTGGGGGCGGGGGTTTGAAAATACAATTTGGCAGAATGAAGCCTCTGTCGGCCGGCATCATTTGTGATGCTCATCCTGTCTAGAACAAAAAGCTAGTTGTTTACTAGCCATTACGTGGGGGGAAAAATGTATAGATTGTACATATTTTAATACAGACCTTCGCATGGACTGCTGCTGTTCCACTTTGGAATGTTACAGAGGCTTCATGAGGTGGCTTATTTGTAAAGTTCACACATCTGTATTGAGTATTATTTTTAAAAATATGAAACTAGTAGGTTTTAAGTATTATGGAGCAGGGGCAAGAGAAAGCAGGCAGAATAGAGACCACTTTGGAAGTCAGAGTTGGAAAACAAACAGTTAATACTGAGGGCGGAAAGGCAGGTGGTCTTGGTAAATGACTTGCTGATGGAAGGGAGTCAGGAGGTCGCTTGTATTTGTGGTTTGGGTGGCTTATTTTATCTAGAATTTCGTAAGGATTTCTGAACCATGCTGTGGTCAAATCCCAGTCCCCCGTTGTATTTCCTTTACACAGGTGTTGGGGGGAGACTTGTACATCAGGCTCTTGACAGATGCTGTGGTTTCTAGAAGGATAAGTCATTCTTATCCATGCTTTCCTTCCTGCTCACATAGCAGACCTCTGAATTACGCTCTTGCAACCCCTGATGAGTGGGGAATAGGTGGGTATTGGGAAAAGGTTCACAGACTGAATTATAGAACAGAGGTGGGAGGTGTTCGGTAAAGAGCTGGGGAAGGGGATAAGCAGGTATGTGAGTGTAGGGGCAGGTGAAAAGGGAGAGAGAGTGTTTTTGGAAACTGGGAGCTGTGTAGACAAGAGGTGAGTTGAGCAAAATATCAGGTCTTTGTCAGGAAAGGAGGAAAGAAACAAGTCAGGCAGAGAGATGTCTATGCAAGCTGGAAGTCTCCTTTTAACTTTCTGTGACACAGGGACAAGAGAGCCAGTACCAGGCATGAAGTGCCTGGGACTAGATGTGGTTAGGAGCAAGGTCCTGTGACAGGGAGAGACAATCACAGGGAGAACAGCCTTGGAAGGATACAGGGCATCCCCTTACTTCCTCCTGGCCTTCCTCGTATCACCTCTCCCTGTCCCAGTTATGTCCAGAGGCGAGGCCCAGTCACAGCTGGGGCCTCACGAACCATTCTGAGAACCCGATGAGTTGTCCATGTGTGGGAGAAGAGGCGAGTTGCTCAGCAGTGTCCCCAAGCATCATAGCTCGGAATCCTAGTGCCCGACCTATCCCAGGTCACAGAGGCCACCCAACAGGATTCAGAATGGTCAGCCCTTTTTAAGGGCATGGACATTGTCTCTCTTTATGGGGGAGGCCCTTGGAGCAGGAGAGCCAAGCCCACCCTCAGCACAGCTGGGATGCCTCTGCTGACTTACTTGCGGTGTGGAGAGTCCTCCCTTTGTTCATTCAACAAGCCTTTCTTGGGTACCTATGATGTGTGAGGCACAGTCCTTGGCACTGGAAATAAGTGAATAAAACAAGTAAGAATCCCTCCTGGATCAGAGTCAGGGGAAAAGGGTGATGGACAACAGGAAACACAGAAGCTTGGCCCTCTGAACCCACCCCTGAAGCCCCTCTGTCCTGAGGCTGGTCGACTGACCTGCTGGGACTCCTAAGGTCCTTCAGCCTTCAATGTTCTTGATTTCTCTGTTGTTCCCGCCGTCATCAGATATTTGACAGTAAGCCTGCCTAGAAATGCCTCCGCCCACTCCTAACTACAGATTGGACATGAGAATGGTCAGCGGGCCCCAGAGTTTGGGAGCCAGTGAGTGTCTATTCTGTTTTGTGAGAACGTTGCTGCCCCTCATTCTAGCTAGTTCCTTCTGTTCGTCTGAAGCTGGCTACAAGCAGCAGCAAAGCTGCCCATCCTGCACAGTGCTGGGCTGGGTGCAGGCAGTGTAGCAGGCTGGATAACTCAGGGCTGGGAACTGGGAGGTGTTTTCCAGTCCTGGCTTATCCTACCCTGGGCACCTTGTACAGGGCTTGCCTGCATAGCTCTGACATGCTAGCATCTTTTGACTATTATATATACATATTTTTTCTGTTGCTCAAGAATATTTTCTTTAGCTAGCTTAAAAAGAAAAATATTTTATTTAATAAACAAATATGTGGCCGAATGCAATGCTGAAAAGACAATCATCCAGTGTCTATACTTCTTTCCCTGCTTCAGAGTGTCACTCATGCTACAGGGACAATAGGCTTATTCTGTTGGGTCTCTTCTTTGGATGTGGACTAGCTGCTCTTATTGCAGCTCCCGCTATGTAAATGAGCTCGAGAAAGCAAAGATTACCTTTCAATAAACGGCATCAGCTGACAGGAATCTCGACTCTCCCATTATTTTGACTCCCTCATTTTCTCCAGAGCCTGGCTCTTGTGTTCGCCAAGAAACAGCCAGCTGAATGGCTGGAAGATACTCCAGGAACAGGACCATGGTGGCAATTGCAGGCCAGGATCAGTTTCTGAAATAGAGAGAGGAGTGGGTCCTTGGTGAACACCGAGAGGATGAATGCACCTGGGTGGTCGTGGTGTTCTGAGAAATCCAAACTGCCACTTCCAGAAAAATGGCTGAGGCAAAGGTGTTGAAGGTTAGTATTTGAGAATAACAACAGGCACCCCCTTCTTCCTTAACTAAAATGGGTTTTCCTATAAGTAGTTTGTACATGAGCTCTCTTACCCTCTAACAGACTGACAGCTGGCACCTCACTTTCCATTTTATAAGCAGTGCGTGCTAACCAGATGTGCCGCTGGAGCCACACCTTGGTTTCCATTTTAAAGAAAAGTTGCTTCTCCATGGAAGGACATGCACTGCACATTCTCTGTCCACAGATCCTCCCCCTGCCTTCCAGAAGAGCAAGGGCCCTGGCTCCCTAGGGCTCTCCCCTCAGCCCTGAAGGTGGTCCTCGCTTCTTGCTGTTCCTTTGGGTCCCTCAGCAGCCTTGGAGGTTCCCACAGCAGCTGGAGCTGCCCTCCACAGCAGCTCTTCCTTCACCTTTTCTAACTGCAAGGAGTGTCTCAAATATGAATGAGACGTTCTAGTCAGTCCTCAAAACCTCTGTATAAGTTTGCCTTTTCTTATCATTCGTTTTATCATTGGAAGCCAAGAGTTCTACCACTAAGCCATCCATCCACCAATAAGCCACACTTTTTGATACTATCTGCTTTCAAAGCTGTATCTGGGCCTGTGCAGAAAGTGAAAGGTCCCAGAGGTCACTGCCGCCATCCTAGCTGCCCGGAATGTGATTTAGGGACTGAGCCAAAGGGAAAGTCCTTCCGGGCTTGCAATACCTTCCTCCACATTCTTGACATTCCTCCTTTGAACGTGGAGATAGTTACAGTGATCCTGCCTCTGTTGGAAGACAGTTATTAGCCAGAAATGTTTCTGTTCTAAATTTTCAAATGATAGGGACAAATGCCACGACAGCAAGTTCCTGTCAGGGGCTTAACCGTCCCAAATCCAGAAATTCCAGGCTTTGCAGAGGGATCGACACGCCTTAGTCCTGCTGAGTACACAGCACACTGGACTCATCGCAGTCTCAGGAGCGTGACCCGGGCAGGCCCCAGCCGGCCCATCAACAAAGCGAGATTGGAGTGCGTGCGTGCTCCGTGCTGGCCGCATTAATGCTGGAAATGTGCCCTTGCAGCCCCAACAGCTAGTCAACAATGCCTACTGTGGGAAGGCGGGGGTGCGAGGCTCCTCCCAGGCAGAATCTCACTTGATCTCACAACAGATTCCAACAACTCCATGTGATTGCAGAAGCTTTCTGGTCAACAAAATCAAACACTTTTATGAAAAAGACAGCAACTTTGGCAGATACAGACTCCGAGGCTTGGGAAGTTGGGCATTTTGCCCTAGGTCCCTTCTAGAGCGCGAGTGGAAGCCGCCACCGGGGGTGGGTGCTGCAGCAAACACAAGGTTGAAGCCACAGTCTAGGACCTTTAGGAGCCTGCAGCGTAGTTATAAAAATGATTCTTAAACTTCCTGGGAATTAGATATAAATTTAAGTCCTTGATCTGTTTATGGCCACCAGACTTAATTTGTCCTCGCGCTTTGCTCGCTGTCTGTAGTCGGTACTACTAGTTTTCCCTGAGAAACACACATGACTCAATAGCTAACGTTTTGAGCACTTAACCTGCCACGTGTCAGGTATTGTTCTGAACCTTTATGTGTGTGATTCCCTTGATCCTTCTGACCACCCAGAGCAAGTGCTGTTGAGACCAGTGAGGCAGCACAGACAGAGGGAGTTGCCAGCCTTCCCGTGGGCACCAAGTAGAAGTGGAAGAGCTGAATCGAGCCTGGGTCTGGGCCTGGAGTTTACAATCTTAACTCACAAACCCTGCTGCCTCCCCAGTGCTCACTGCCCTGGAGGACCAAGATCTTTCGCTGGATCCTGCATCAAGGACTCCTGAGGCCTTGGTCCTTTTGTTTCAGATCCTCCCCCACATTGGGTTTTTATTCAGCTTGACAGCCTTCTGCCTCCCTGTGTTCCGAGTACTGAATTCAAAGGCACATGAAAACCAAAACCAAAAATCACAGACCTGATGGACGTGCCTGGTCACATTTTTAAGCTACTTTCATAACTTGGCTGTCTTTGGTGCCATTTGCTGTAACCTTTGGACATCTTATTTTACCTGTAATGCCCCCTGGTGCTGTGCTCACCTGACTTCTCTGGGCCTGATCCAGGTTGGGTGGCTGCTCTGTGTGGCTATTGGACCTCCCCAACATTTTACTACATGGAAGGTGCAGCATCAAGTCTCAGGTTTTAGGTGGGTCTCAACCCCCAGACACTGTGGTGAAAACCTCCTATAACATATACTGCAGTAATCTTCATAGTGTAGTGCACCTTTCATATTAACCTTAACATTCAAAAACTGCACTTGCAACCTGAAACTGGCAAATTGTCCTCAACAGAACACCATTGACTGGGGCCTCCCTGGTGGCACAGCGGGTTGAGAGCAGTGCTGTGAAGCTGTCCGCAGCCTCTGCAGCACAGGTGCCATCCCCGGCCTGCCAGGGAGATACCCACATGGCGAGACAGACCTCTCCTATGGCACCCACTGCTCCCTTCAGCAGTGTATTTCAGTCAATCTGCTTGTTCTGCTCCCCACTCTGTCTGGTGAATCCTCTCACTCTCTAATGCCTCTGGCCTATACCCCAGCTCTTATATAAAAATAAAAATAAATCTTAAAAAAAATGTTTTTTTAAAAAAAAAAACACTGTTGACTGAGGTCACTGATAAGACTCCTTGTCCCAGTTTCTCATTCAAGTGTCCTGGGTGGCTGGGCTATAACCTGGGGACCCCCAGCATGACTGCAGTGGGCCGCATTCCCGGCGCTGACAGCATTGTCTCTTCTAGTTGGGTGCAGTGGGAACGGGCGCTGGATCTCCATGTGTGAACAAGGGACTGGCCTGTGTCCGGGGAGAAAGTCGCCTGACCATAGCCAACATTAGGGCTTGTGGCTGTGTGCAGCGACTGCTCTGCAGGAGACACCCACTCTGGTGTAAACACTCCCCAGAGTGGGGGGCTGCAGCCATGGAAGCGGCCTACCAACCTCCTTAACTTGGTGTGGGAGCTGCAGGTGGGGCTCGTGTGCAGGTTGGGGGAGGTGATGGGCACTCCCTCCTACCCATGCAGCAGACATAGGGTGTCCCTTCTGGACCCCACCAGGAGGCTCTATAAAGACTAACCAGTTTTGCCCCCCTGGATGGACCCAGTGGATATTTGAAGGTAGTGGGGGCAGGATGAACATCTAAAATCCCTTATTAGGGTAGAAGTTGCAATTGGGCAAACTCCTGGGGTTAGTCTTTGTACTTTATCTGACTTAGTCTGTGAGGTGGCTGGTATTACTCCCTTTTACATGTTGGGAAACGTGTAGAAAAAAAAAATCTCAAGTCACCAACTAGTAATTAGTAGAACTGGGATAGAGTCCTAGATCTGTCCCTCTTACCAACCCAGAATTTCTCTTTGACCAGGAATGGTTACCTGTTACCCCTCCAAAATTGTCACTGCTGAGACCTGTAGCTGGGGACATTAGGCACAAAGCCTGGGCCGTCTATGAGGTCACATGCCCCAACCTCCCCATTGCAAGCCTGCTTTTGGAGGGTGAGAACTGCCTGCTTCTCTCTGCAGGCACCCCCTGCCTCCCCACTCATGCTAGCTGCAGGCTTTCCACCTGATAAGCCTCATTCCTATGGCTTCTGAGCCTCTAGCTCTTGCATGATAGGCTTGATTTCCAGGAAAGGATTAAGGATGAAGATAAACCGGGTGTCACCAGTTAAATACCCTCTAGCCTTTGAAAGGGCCAGACTACCATCTGTCTGCCAGCCCAGCGCCTTGATTTGCAGGTTCTATCTCTAGGCCTGGGGTTACCTTTCATGGTGCCCGAGTGGATCCCAGCCTATCACTGAGCATGAATGGAGATAGTGTAGAGCTCCCTGCAGAGGTAGGCAAGGGAAACTGAATCTGAGGAACAAGATAAGGAACAAGCTCCCTCTGGGCCTCCTGGCTCCCCTAGAAGGAAAATATCCATGTCCCTGTCCCTGAGCCCTGGGGAGCCTTCTCCTGTCTCCTGGCAGTTAGATAATGAACAAGACAGAACTTGCATTCCTTAACCTGCCCACAGCCTCCTTATCTGACCTCGGTACAACCCACAACTCTGACTTTCCAGAGCCATGTTTGTTATGGATTTGCACATGGCTTCCTAAACTAGCTTCATTATCTGAAATGAATAACTATTACCCCCTCCTTGATGGCAAATTTTCTTTCTTTTTTTTTTTTAAAGATTTATTTATTTATTTATATAAGCACTGGGTACAGTCAGAAGCGTGGGAGGGTGAGAGAATTCACCGAGCCAGAGCGGGGAGCAGAACAGGCAGAAGGACTGAGTACACTGCTGAGGAGAGGTCTGCGCGCCATGTGGGACCCTCCTCTGGTGGCCGGGGAGCAACCGGGGATCGAACCGGCACTGCAGAGGCTGCGGGCAGCTTCACAACCCAGCGCTCAACCGCGGCGCCACCGGGGAGGCCCGATGGCAAATTTTCTTTTGTCTGTGTATTTCATTTCTGCTGGGTGCTAAAAGCCAGGGCTTACTGAAATCATGTGACCTTCCCAGACCCTGATGAAATGTTCGGCATGTCCCAGAAAGGTAGGTCTGGTCACCCCTGGATGGTCAGAGGCATGCAGGCAGGAAAGCTTTGCACTTGCTCACTGGTCAGCATAAAGGGGGTGAGCCTGCCAAGCAGTGCCAGTGTGTATCCAGAACTTACTTCCTAGATGTTGCGAGGCCAACTGCGGAATTAGTCTCATTGACTTTGCTACCCACATTAGCAACAAGGACATTTAGACAGCACCAAATAAGAGGAAAACAAAAACGAAGTAACACAGCACAGCATCTACTCTGAGAATTAACCGTTGAGCAGTGTACTTTTTGTTTTGTTGAAAGCTTGTGTTTCCACCACTATGAACGAACAGTGGTTAACATTTGGGCAGCTCTGCTTTACATTTTTAAATAAAATCAAGCATGCAGACAACATCTCAGCACTGTTAGTGTTACAGCCTGAGTTTGATTCCTGGCCAGGAAGCT